CGCACTCTCGCGACTCTATAAAACCGCTCTTGATCGCTCGCGAGTTTCATATCGTCGGTAGTGCTTCGATAGTCACGTTTCGCTGTTACGAAAAGTCGGCGTTTGTTAAAATTATTCACGGGCTATTCGAGGAGCGAGTGTCGTGAAAAATATAATGGCCGCTAACAAGCAGAATATCGAGAAGGACGAGCGTAATAACACTCGCAGTGACATCACAAGCGGTCGAAACTTTAATCGAAAGGGTAACATGTTACTGTCTACAACATACACTTTAAACAATTTGATATGTAATCATAAATATTTATCCTCAAAAGCGTCTCCTTCTTTTATCCTATATTCTTCGATAAACTCCAGAAATTTCCACGATGCTGACGCACGCGTGGATAATACTCTTCCTCCCCTCCCCCCACGACTCAATGTAAGAATCAAAGGAGCCGAGAGCAAACACCATATACCCATAGCTGTCCAGACCTGCTCTCGCCTCTCTCTCTATCTCTCTCTCTCGCTTTTCTAACTTTCAGGAAACATCTTTTCGTCATAATTTTCCGGTAACGTCTCCCACCCCTCAACTCTTCTCGACATAAGCGACGATGCGGAAAGCGCTGCGGAAAAGAACCAATCCCCGCGAATAACCATAGCTGACCGCTAGGCCAACCAATAGATCTTCCTTACTCCTCACGCCGAGACATATGACGACTACCCTCTCCCACTAGCTCCCCACCTTCGCCTAACGTTCAGTAAGGCCCTTTTCGCCTAAATTTTCCAGGTCATACCTAGCATTCACATATTCTCGACGTAGGCGACGAGGCGGGGGAGACCCTCAGGTTAAAACCAATCCCCGTGAATGTCCATAGCTGACCAGTAAACGAACCAATAGCATAAATTTCCCTCACCCTTATACGTCAGCAACCGACGACTACCCCCTACCCCTAGCTCCTCCATCGTCGCCTACTCCTTCTCGACTCACTCATCAGTCGAGACTCGGAACTTCCAGACAACGCTCATGCCGCAAGAGACGAAGTTTATACGACGTAAGAAACGATGCAATAAAAAGAAATAAAATAATATACATAAAAATCACCCTGAATAATCCCACCCGATTTATAGTGAGGGCGACACATCGGCCACCCCCACTCCCAAAATTAAAAATTTTTATTCCACATTTTACCCCCCTCCACTATATCTGCAAAATTCCCCCCACTATTCCATTTTTGGGACCCTCCCCCACTCTCGACTCACCCGAATCTAACCTCCTGGTCCCCTTTCCCCTACCCCTGACACACAGGCGCCAGCTTTTATCCCCACCACCGAAAAATAGGCCACGCCCTGTCTCACGGAAGCTGTACATATACTACTTACAGCTTGATATGTATATCGAATAGTCGATCATAAATCTTTTCCTCTAGTCTAACGTAAATTCGTGAACATGTTGCTTATTGCAGCCTATATATATTACAAACGCAATCTGACGGACAAACGCGCGTCGCTTGTGTGCGTGCATATGTGTGATCTGAAGCTAAATCGCTTGGCGATGCAAATGCGGCTTGATGGACAAACTGATTCGCTTGTGTGCGTGCGTACGTGTCTGAAAAAATGAGAATCTGCATGAAAATAAAAAGGCTTTTTAGCGGGCGAGATTTCGAGATCTCCGTATTGCCTGCACCAATTTTAATCAAACTTGGTGTAAATTACGCGCGCGCTAAACATTATATAAGGAAACTTTCATTAGATTTTTGATTATAGTTTTCGTGCTTGAGATATTTGACTCAGAAGATCAATCGACCCAGAAATTCTAGATAAGCTTATACGGTCGCGTTGTTTTGTTCGATACGTACTCGGCGTTGCGCCGCGACCGCGGCACTTGATAACTTATAAGGATAAGAAAAACTAGAATACTCTTTATATTATTTGTACTTTTATTATTTTTAAACAAAATAAGAAAAAAGGAAGAAAGAAAGTATAGAAAGCGAGAAGAAAAGGAGAAAATATAAGCAGAGAAGATAGTACACAGACAGTGTGATGATAAATAAAAGAAAATAAAAACGAAATAAGAAGATAGAAAATAGAGAGATGCAAGATAGTATATAGAGTAAATAGCAAAAGTTATTTTTAAAAGTAATTCATTATTATTACTCGTTATCCATAAGAAAAGTACGTTGTTACTGTTACTTTTCATTATTAGATAGAAAAGAAGAGACAGTGTTATAAAGAGAAAAGGGGAGAGACTGCATGAGAGAGAGAGGTATAGGTAGATGGAGAGAAAGAGGGAGAGAGGGGGGAGGGGGAGAAACATAGAAAGAGAGCTAAATGCAGTAAATATTGAATTATTAGAAGAAAAACAGTAAGAAAAATAAATACGGCGAGAATAAAAAGGTGAAAAAAAAGTATATATGGGGTGTTCTCTGTCAAATCGGCCACCCCCTGCCCATTTCAATTTTTTAGATAAAATTCTTTAAAAGGGCTTAAAATTTTCATTGAAATGTTAAGTTTGCGATGACGTATGGCCTTTTTGAAAATTCAAAATGGCGAACCCAAAATGGCGACTAGAATGCAAACAGACACCGAAAAAACAAATATCGTGAATAAATTTTTCAAAACAATTAAATGTCACTTTATAAAGAGTAATAGCATATTGTTTACACCAAAAGACGGTTTTAATTATTTCTTCTCGTTCTTATTTCTTTTAATTGGAACGATAGAGGCACGACGCTCCTGATGCTCGAGCGACTCGTACGCTGCGTGCGGAATAGCAAGGTGGACAACACGACCATATCATGCTACTGAGTCTAATCGTCAATTGTTTCCTATTAACGTATTAACGTCTCCCGAAAAGCGAGGCAAATTTGCACAGTTTGCTAACCTCCCAGATAACAAAATGTTGTCACAGTGATATCATGGTGCGCGCACGCATGCCCATAATGTTACACGCATATTATCATACAGATGCGTCCTCATATGAGACTCATAATGCTCGCACATGTACGACCTCATGTGTGCGGGTCATACGCAGGTCATGTGCGGGTCATAGTTTCCACTGAGGACGTAATTTGGTTATTGTATTCTTCATTTAGACTGTTAAAATTTTACATTTGAAAGTGTTACACTTCTTTAGTTTTACTTTAAATGTATGTAAAAACTGACATATGTTTAAGTTTATGATTATTTCAAGATTCACTTTAACTTTGTGTTGAAATATTTTAAAAATGTTAATTTCCTACAATTGCCTCTATCGTTCCAATTAAAAGAAATAAGAACGAGAAGAAATAATTAAAACCGTCTTTTGGTGTAAACAATATGCTATTACTCTTTATAAAGTGACATTTAATTGTTTTGAAAAATTAATTCACGATATTTGTTTTTTCGGTGTCTGTTTGCATTCTAGTCGCCATTTTGGGTTCGCCATTTTGAATTTTCAAAAAGGCCATACGTCATCGCAAACTAGACATTTCAATGCAAATTTTAAGCCCTTTTAAAGAATTTTATCTAAAAAATTGAAATGGGCAGGGGGGTGGCCGATTTGACAGAGAACACCCCATATATATATTACGATTACAAATTTACCGACTCGTAATTTATTAAATTAAATAGACTATATAGACACCGGAATATAAATAATAAAATAATAAATTAATAAATAATAAAATAATAAATTAATAAATAATAAAATAATAAATTAATAAATAATAAAATAATAAAATAATAAAATAATAAATTAATAAATAATAAAATAATAAAATATAATAAAATTAAATATGATAACGTAAATAAAATAAAAAATAAATAATGAAAAAGAGTGAGAGAGAGGGAGAGAGAGGGAGGGAGAGGGGGAGGGAGAGGGCAGGGAGAGGCAGAGAGAGAGAGAGAAAAAGAGACGGAGA